ACGCAGCCTCCATTCTACTCTCTGTCTTTATGATTTTGACCACTTCCAGTCCCTCACAGGAGTGGAATATGCAGTAGGATTTGTTTTTTTGCCACTGGCTCATTTCACTTCGCATAATGTCCTCAAGGTCCATCCAGGTCATAGCAGGTGTCAGAAATTCCTTCCTTTGGGGCCACCTGGGTGGCTCAGTTGGTTGAACGTCTGGCTTCGACTCAGGTCACCATCTCACGGTTCGTGGGTTCGAGCCCCGTGTTGGGGCTCTGTGCTGACAGCTCAGAACCTGGGACCTACTTCAGAGTCTGTGTCTCCCTCCCTTTTTACCCGTCCTCCTCACCCGTCTCTCTCTCTCTCTCTCTCTCTCAAAAATAAATAAACATTAAACATTTTTTTTAAAAAAGAAAGAAAGAAAAATCCCTTCCTTTGTACTCAGCCTTTTGGGCAAAAATAATATTGTAAGTATAGGCCACATTTTGCTTATCCATTCACATCTGTCAAAGGGTTGCTTCTACATTTTAGCTGTTGTGAACAGTGTTGCCAAGAACATGGGTGTTGGAGTACGGCAGAATATACCACCCTAAAATACACCACTTTGGCATAAGGATTATTTTGAGTTAAAGCCACTTGGAAAACACTCTGGCCTTCTTTTCTTTTCTTGAAAGCAGGAGATGAAATCTCCATGTAAAAGACGTCTTCCTTGTAAGACCAGAAGGAAAGTAGCTTTCTTATCATCAAGGACCAGAAGTTGAGATGGAGAAAATTCTGTCTGAACAGAATCTGTTAAAATAATTCTCATCTCCCTTTAGCCTCTCGTCTGGTTTAGTTTCTTTCCCACAATTGCCCCTCTTTGTTTAACCTGTTATAAAAGCACGCAGGCTTTTATCATGTCTTTGGGTCTTCATTCATCACAAGGCCCCCAGTGCTTTTCTCCTGCTAATTAATCCATTTTAAGTCAGTTTCTCAAGCCCAGCCAGAAACCTAACAGAGTTGGAGGTGAAACTTTGCCTCCCCGGGGGCCCCTGGCTGGCTCAGTCCACAGAACGTGTGACTTTTGATCTTGGGGTTGTAGGCTCAAGCCCCACGTTGGGTGCGCAGATTAATAAAAAATAAAATCTTAAAAACACATTCGCCTCCCCCCAGTGTGCAGCCATCATCTATTTAAAAACTACAGTTGATGGGGCACCTGGATGGCTCAGTGGGTTAAGCGTCCGACTTTGGCTCAGGTCGTGATCTCACAGTCCGTGAGTTCGAGCCCCACATTGGGCTCTGTGCTGACAGCTCAGAGCCTGGAGCCTGCTTCAGATTCTGTGTCTCCCTCTCTCTCTGACCCTCCCCTGTTCATGCTCTGTCTCTCTCCGTCTCAAAAAAAAATTTAAAAACATTAAGAAAAATAAAAATGAAAAAATAAAAACTATAGTTGACTCTTGAACAATGCGGGGGGCTAGGGGGACCAACCCCCATCCCCACATAGTCAAAAATCCGCATATAACCTTGGACTCCCCCCAAATTTAACTAGTAATAGCTACCATTGACCAGAAGCTTTGCCAGTAACAGAAATAGCCAATCAACACATATTTTGTATGGTATATGCATTACATACTGTATTCTTATAATAAGGCAAGCTAGAAAACAGAAAATATTACTAAGAAAATCATAAGAAAGGGAAAATACATCAATAGTACTATTCATATAGCGATAGAAAAAAATCCGCATATTCGTGGACCCACACTCAGTTCAAACCCGTGTCTTGCCAGCATCAGTTGTATGCGAGTAAAGCCTCATAATAATCCTCCGACCATGTTTTAAAACAACGATATAGGGGTGCCTGGGTGGCTCAGTCGGTTAAGCGGCTCGCGGTCCGTGAGTTCAAGCCCCGCGTCGGGCTCTGGGCTGACGGCTCAGAGCCTGGAGCCTGTTTCAGATTCTGTGTCTCCCTCTCTCTCTGAACCTCCCCCATTCATGCTCTGTCTCTTTCTGTCTCAAAAATAAATAAACGTTAAAAAAAAAACGATATACATAAATTAAAACATTAAAACTTTACCACTTCCGTGGTCATGAGGCTCTGATCAAATTTCCCCCCCTCCACCAGGTGGTCATTACAATTATTCTTAGCACACAAATCACAGTAATGTGGGTATTACAATTTTGCTAAATGATGATTAGCCACAAAAGGCTAAATGTTATTAGAAAGGCATCTCTCTCGTAATGAGGTGTTTAGATATTTTCTCCTCCTCATTGAGTCGATGCACCCACGGATGGATGTTGTTTATTGCTAAAACCAGACAGACACCAGCATCCCGTTTTTCATTTTTACAGGATGCACACGCTGGCTGGATGACGCTGGAAGGGATTTTTTTTTTTTTTTTCTAGTGAGGCTCGTCCATTTTTTCAACTGTGTCCAGCTTAGATGCCAAACATCACAAAGTAATCCAGCGTCAAATTCGTTTTTAATTTTTCGGATTCTGTTGAGGATAAAAACACGAGAACCCATCCTTCTCGCGAAGTGACTTGTCTCGGGGTCACTTCATTCCTTGTGCTGTTTGCTCCGGCCGACACCCGAGGATGGCTGCCTTTCCACGGAGCATTTATTGGAAAAAAAAAAAAAAAGCTTAGAATCGTAAACATTTCTCTGTCCCTCCGAGATGTACCCACATCTCCCACCACCCAGGGCTGTCTTTCTCAAGGACCCGAGGACCATCCCTTTGAATGTAATTGTCAGGAAGGACAGGGCCTCTGCCTCCCTGCCTCAGAGTAGAATCCGGGCTTTGATAAAAGCCGGTTAGCAGACTCCAGCTGACCTGATCAGTTGACATTCACCAACCCCCCTACCTGCTCTTGGGAATCTGTCGCTCCCCTGACTCCGGCCCCCTCTCGCTGCACCCTCACCCTCTCTCCGGACTCCGCAGTCACGCTGTGTGACTGGCACCTGAGCTCGGTTGATGCTCTGGACTGCCCTCTCTAATGCAGGAGTTAGCATCTCCCTTCCCCCCAGCAAAACTACTGATGCTCTTTGCCAAGGGATCTGAGGCCACATGGGGCCCGAGAGCCCTTCCCAGGAGTGCTCAACGCCCTCGCGGACACTGGACCCCCATCAGCCCGTCCGGCCAAGTTAAAACAACGGGCTTCGAACCCCCCAACCTCCCACCCTAGGGCAGACTCCCTAGAGAACATGCTGCTGTCCTTCTAAGCTGAGGAAAGTGCGTCCCGTCTGGAGGGGGCAGACAGGACCCTCACACTTGGGGCCTGGAAAGAAACCCGAAAGATGCTTCCAGGTCGTCTGGTGCAAAGATCGCATTGTCCAGCAAAAGTGGAAGCTGGGGGGGACCAGGTGACTTTCCCTGGGCCGCAGAGCTAGTCACAGGCCGTCACTCTCTTCCCTTTCAAACAAGCCTGGCGGTGGCAAACGGTGCTGCGTGGCCTGGCACGTGACATGTGCCAAATTAATGCTTGCCTAACTGACAGAGGGCGGCTCCGGGCGCCTCACACGCCTCCGTTAACCTCGGCGCATTCTGCAGCCAGCGGCGGGAGGCCTCCGAGACTGTGCTGGGCGTGGAAAGCCCACACCGAGCTGTATATGGTAAAAATGTAAGTTGACACTTCCCTTCTTTTGAAATGTGGCAGTGTCTCTCCCCTGTGGGGATATAAAGCCGTCCTCTCACCGTAGGTTCTGGAAGCCCCGAGGCTCAGTACACGTCCTAGGGCCTGGCAGGGCTGAGGGAAATTCAGGGAATGTTTAGGGATGATCCTGCCGGCAGGAGCACGGACTGCTTGGCCCTGAGGAACCCCGGTTGTACAGCTTCTAGCCTTGTGGCCCTCCTTCGGGGCCTCTGGAGTGACAGGCATAATCTGGGCACAGTGAGGGGTCAGGGGCCAGGGTTCCCTGGAGGGGAAACCGTGGCAGAAGCCTCCAAGCTAAAGAAAGTTGATTGGAGAGACCTACTCACTCTATTTAAAGCTCAAGAAAAAGAAAGAAAGAAAAAAAGAAAGAAAGAAAGAGGGAAGGGAAATATGAAAAGCAAACAACCTTTAGGCACATCAGAGATAATGCCTTGGCGGGGAGGGGCCCCGGCTTCTGGGAAAGGGCCTAGAAATTTCTGTGCACAGAGCCCCATACAGTGGGGGTGGGTGCCAGTTCTGGTGAAAACAGAAAACACCCTCAACACTATCACGAGGAGATGGCTTACTCAGTTACGGCACACCCCACCGTGGAATGTTCTCTGAAGAACGATGGGCAGCTGGATTTACTGGTTTAGAGAGGAGACCTCAGCATATTTTTGAGGGAAAAAATAAATTTAAAAACAGCGTTCTCAGTGAGATCCCATTTATGTAAAGTAGTGTCACACACACACACACACACACACACACACACACACACGGGTGTCTGAGAGTTTCTGAAAAATCAGAAAACAGAACCAGAGTCGGCCTCATGTGCAGGACCTGTGCAGGGTCCCACACCCAGAGGGGCGTTAGGCATGCTTTACTGGTCTGCTGCCCCCTTCTTAATGATGTAGCTGGCTCTGCATAGAATAAACTCACTTTTTAAAAAATCAACCTTGCGGAGGTATAATTTACACACCACAGAATGCATGCATTTGAAGCACACAGGTGAACAAATGTTCACAAACGTATTCACATAACCACCACCACAGTCAAGACAGAGAACATCTCCATGACGCCCCAGAAAGTTGCCTCCTGGGGCACTTGTCAGGATGAGCACTGGGTGTTGTATGTTACCTATGAATCCCTGGATTCTACTTCTGAAAGCAAGACTGCACTGTATGTTAACTAATTTGAGAATAAATAAAATAAATAATAAAGAAGGAAAGACGAAAGAAAGAAAGAAAGAAAGAGGGAGGGAGAGAGAGAAAGAAAGAAGGAAAGAAGAAAGAAAAAAGAAAGAAAGAAAGAAAGAAAGCGAGGGAGGGAGAAAGAAAGAAAGAAAGAAAGAAAGAAAGAAAGAAAGAAAGAGAAACATCCCTCCTGCCCTGCCTGGTCACGCCCTCCATCCCAGACCCAGGCAACCACCCAGAGGCTTTCTTTCCCTCCGGCTGACTTTGTCATTTCCAGACTCCTTTAAAAATAGAATTGTACAATATGCACTCCTGCGTCTGCTTTTCTTCCTCAATGCCATGTTCTGAGGTCCATCCTGTGGCAGTGTTATCGCTGTCTGTCCTTTTTTATTGTTACAATGACGTGTGGATATATACCAGTTCTGTCCCTCTACCTGTTGATGGGCACGTGGGCAGTTTCCAGCTTGGAGCTGTGATGAGCGGTGCTGCTGGGAACATTCATGGGCAAGCCGTGTCTGGACATAGCTTTCATTTCTCTCGGGTAAACACCCAGAAGCGGAATTGTTGTGCTATCTGTCACGTGAGTGTTTAACTGTATGCAACAACATCAAACTGTCTTCCAAAGTGTGTATTTCCATGTGTATAGTTCCACCAGCGAAAGTCGTTTGTAAACAGCATGTTAAATTTTCAAATACTTTGCTAGATGTCCTCAGGTGCTACAGAGGGTCCAGAACGTCTCGGAAAGCGATTATTTATTGCACTTTTTTTTCACACTAACGATTGGACACATTGTTTCAAGTTTACAGGTATTTCAGGAGAAAAAGCATCTAGAGGTTGAAGATTGGAAATGTAACTAACAATGGTTTAAAGTAAGTTTATACTGTTTCCTGGGATTGTGAACACCCTGAGCATGCAAAAATCACTAGGGGCGGGGGGGGGGGGTCACCTAGACGTTCTAGACGTTCTATAATACCAGCTGTGGTTCACTTCCTGGCCATGAAAGCTACACTTATTTTATAGAAAATTCAGAAAATATAAAAAAGAACAAAAATATAGCTCAAAATCCTCATCATCGACATGCTAGAATTACTTCCTGCGTGTTTTGCTAGATGGCTGTGTGGGCGTTCGATGATGCTAATTGTGCTCTGTTAACTTCCTAAAACAGCTCCTTATTTACAAAAGCATTACCTCCTCCTAGCAAAAATTCAAAAACAAAATACTGGTTGTAAAAGAGAAAGAAGAGGTCTCCCCCAAAGCCAACAACCGGCTGTGCATCTTGCCCACATGTATCGCTTCTGTCCAGCCCTTTGCATACACACACGGATAGGAACACTGCGTGCTTTTAAAGACGTATAATTTAAAAATTCATAGGATTTTTACATCCTAATGTTTTCTTCACCTAGTAATATGTCATTAAAATTCCTTAGAAAACAAAGTTTTTAATGTCTACTTAAAGTCCACATACAGATGCACCTTAATTTATTCAACTATTATTCAAATGTTGAGCACTTTGGATGAGACCCTTTCTGTGTGTGTGTGTGTGTGTGTGTGTGTGTGTGTGACAGAGAGAGAGAGAGAGAGAATGCCATAATAATCATCCTTTTCAGTAAATCTTGCCTGCATCTCTGGTTCACTCATCTTGCTTAAAATAAAGTCTCAGAGTTAGAATTTCTAGAATTTCACATATTTTTTAATAATTAAAAAAAAAACCCTATTATCTCTAAAATGTTTTCACCAGTCTCCTCTTCAACAGATCAAAACTGAATTGAATTGTTCTAAAACATTTAAACTATTTTTAGAGTGCAAAGTTATGCCTCCTTGTTGACTTAACTTGCAGGTTCACGATGCTCAGGCTGGGTGTTTAGAATCTGCTGATCGCCCGTTACTATCTTTTCCTTTGCAAATCACTTTTATGTTCACCTACTTTTCCGTTAAAGTCTCATCTTTTTCTTATGGAACTATGAAAGTATTTCATGTATTTGTGAATCTCCAGCATTTATAACAATGCCTCAACCATCATAAGCACTCAGTAAATGTGAAGCAAATGAATAAATCCCAGGGATATTAGTCTTTTTTCCTACATGTTGCAAATATGTGCTCTCAGTTATCAGCTTAAATTTTTGCTCACGATCGTCTTTGGTTGTGCTTTTTGTTTATATTACCTCTCTTATTTTGAAATAGATTGACTCGTTAGCTATTGCCCAAGTAGAGTCCCTGTGGGCCCTTCAAGCCCTCCCCAGTAATAGTCTCTTAGATAACCAGGATACGTTGTCAACAGTGGGAAAATATCGGTGCAATATCATTAACTTCAATACAGTGTATGACTACTTTTTATTATCATTGTACAATATCTGACACATAATTAGCTCCACATCGACATTTTAAAATATTGATCGGATGAGAATATGGAGGAATCCTATTTTAATCTGAATGTCTTCGTCTGTGAAAGTCCAAGACTGTTGGACAAAATGCCTCCAGTGGTATTTTTCTTTTTTTGATTCCTGTCACCCGTTTCGCCCACCCCCACCCTCACCCCACCCCACCCCACCCCCTCCTCTGGCGACTGTTCTCTGTGTTTATGATCTTGGGGGGGGGGGTTCTCTTTTTTTTAGATTCCACCTATAAGTGAGATCATACAGTATTTGTCTTTTTCTGCCTGACTCATGTCACTTAGCATAGTGCCCTTAAGGTCCATCCATGTGGTCACAAATGGCCAGATTTCATTCTTTCTTATGGCTGAATAATATTCCATTAGATATATATTCCATTAGATATATAGATATATAGATATATATTCAGTATAAAATGTATATACATTCAGTATATATATATTCAGTATATATGTATTCAGTATATATATATATATATATACACACCATCATTTCTTTATGTTTTCATCCACTGATGACACTTAGATTATTTCCACATCCTGGCTGTTATAAATAATCCTGCAATGCACATGGTGGTGCAGGTGCCTTATGACATGTAGTGTTTTCATTTTCTTTGGATGTATACCCTACAGCGGGATTTCTGGATCATGGGGTATTTCTATTGTTAATTCTTTGAAGAACCTCCATAGCAGCAGTTTGCCTTCCCATTACATGTTGCAAATACGTGCTTAGCTATCAGATGGCTTACATTTTTGTCCACAATGCGTTATTGTGGTGTTTAGCAAGTGGTGTTTAGCAAGTCTTTCTTTTGTCCTTAAATCAGATAAACATTGCCCTGTATCACCTTCTTCTTCTCTTTTTGTGGAATACTAAAAGCTTAAGAATTAGAAAGGCGAGCTTTCTCTCACCACTCTCATTCTTGAAAAATGTCCCTGGTAACTCTCATCAGTTTATCCTTTACGTGAACTTGAAAACGAGTTAAGTCCACCCTCCCTCCCATCACACACACATCAATATTGTTTGGGTTTGGGGAGAATTGCCTTGAGCCTGTAAGTTATGACCCTCGGTCTTTCCATCCAATATTTCAGGATGCCTTTGTGACAACCCTCCTTTCATGTCCTTTGATGTTTGTTGGATCAAACTGGAAGGGATGCAGGAGGTCGTGAAGCCAACCGTAGGTGACGCCCACAGCACCCAGGAGCTCTGCCCTGGCCTCCCGATTTTCAGCCTGCGCAAAGATGACTAATTTAGCAAATATTTTTAAAAGACGGCTCGCAAGTTGGAATGTAAATTGACAGGCGGCTTTTTAAAGCAATTGGGAAATACTTGCCGAGAGTAGAAATGCCTGTGCTTCTGCACAGGAGACCCACGTGTAGGAGCCGCTAAGAACACCGTGTGGATGAACGTATATGCACAAGCCTGTCCTTTAGCATCTGTATCGCAAGGAAAAACTAGAACCAGGTGCCCACCATCTAGGAGAACCATTCAGTCAACTCTGGTATGCAGATCAGATAGAATTTGAGGCCGCTTTCAGAAGTGAGTCTTTTTATAAATTCCAGCAAACGATGGACAGCACACAAGGATTACCCATGATACTCTGGGTGGTAGGGCTGGCTGGGATTCTTGTTTCTTTCTATTTAAAAAGAAAAGTTTTGGGGGCGCCTGGGTGGATCAGTTGGTTAAGCATCGAACCTCGGCTCTGGTTATGATCTCACGGTTCGTGAGTTTGAGCCCCACATCTGGCTCTGTGTTGACAGCTCGGAGCCTGGAGCCTGCTTCGGATTCTGTGTCTCCTTCTCTGTCTGCTCCTCCCTGGCTCACGCTCTGTCTCTCTCGCTCTCTCTCTCAAAAATAAAATAAAAACATTTTAAAAAGCCAAAAAACAGTTTTCCAGGGCACCTGGGTGGTTCAGTCAGTTAAGCATCCAACTTGATTTCGGCTCAGGTCATGATTTCACAGATCGTGGGTTCAAGCCCCATGTCTGGCTTTGCGCTGACAGTGCAGAGCCTGCTTGGATCCCTCTGTCTCCCTCTCTCTCTCCCTAGCCTGGCTTATACTCTCTTCCTCACTCTCTTAAATAAATAAACTTAAAAAAAAATAGTTTTCCACGATGTATTTCTTTGATGATATTTAAAACCTTTTATTTTTTTTGAAGTTTATTCATTTTTGAGAGAGAGAGAAAGAGAGAGAGAGAGTGAGCAGGGGAGGGGCAGAGAGAGGGAGACACAGAATCTGAAGCAGGCTCCAGGCTCCGAGCTGTCAGCACAGAGCCCAACGAGGGGCTTGAACTCATGAACCGTGAGATCGTGACCTGAGCCAAAGTTGGACACTTAACCAACTGAGCCACCCAGGCGTCCCTCAAACCTATTTTAAATGAGCCATTAACGGTTTTCAAAATTAGTACACTTTTATCGTAACAAATCTATACATGGGGTACCTGGGTGGCTCAGTTGGTTGAGCACCCGACTTCAGCTCAGGTCATGATCTCACAGTTTGTGAGTTGGAGCCCCATGTCGGGCTCTGTGCTGACGGCTCAGAGCCTGGAGCCTGCTTTGGATTCTGTGTCTCCCTCTCTCTCTGCTCCTCTCCTCATGCTCTGTCTCTCTCTCAAAAAATAAATAAACATTTAAAAAAATCTATACTCATTGAAAGGAAAAAGGCTAAATGCTGCACAAAACTTATAGAAGAAAATGAAAATAATCTAGAATCTTACCACGGGGAGAGACTCACTTCTAACATTTTGTTGTACAATAACAGAGACATACAGACAGATGGATAGATAGATAAATAGATAGACAAATAGATAGACAGGGGTGTCTGGGTGGCTCAGCAGGGGAGCCTGCTTCGGATTCTGTGTCTCCCTCTCTGTCTGCCCCTCCCCCGCTCACATTCTGTCTCTCTCAAGAATAAGAAACATTAAAATTTTTTTTTAAATAGATAGATATTACACACACACACACACACACACACACACACACAAATACTGTTTTGCAAACTGCTTCTTTCGTTCATCAATACATCATGGACATCCTTCCACATCCATAAACGTCAATCTACTTCATTCTTTTTTTAATGGTCTGCATTAAACTATTCCCACCCAGGCATCTTGTTGGTGAACGTGCCATTATTTATTTCACTAATGCCCCTACTGATGCACATGCAGGTTGTTGGCAATGTTTCCCTTAGCAATTAGCGTATCAGTAAGTGAGCTGGACTGGGAGTCAGCCTCCGGGCTAGTTTGTCACATCTACTGCGAATTCGCTATCCCCCATCATGTCCTCAGTCTCCTCCTTGGCAACACGAGGATGTGGAGGACATCAGATGAATTCTGAGACGCCTCAGCTGCAGCAGTCTGATTTCTTGGGATGGCAGCTGATTTTTCAAGAACACAAAGTGCTCAGTGTAATTTCGAATAAATGGCACGACTCAAAATAGGGTTCCTCTCTCAGATGACACTGTGAAGGGCCCCAGATCCCTGCCAGGCTCACTTCCTGATCCAGAGAGTGACTGGAAAGTGACTTCCAAAGCCCATCTTGGGCCACAAACCCTCAGGAACGCAGCTCTGTCTTCAACCAGGCAGAAGCCGTGCGACGGTGATACAGCCCCGTGCTGCCCGCCCCGTCACCCGCAGACCCCTCTCAGCCCCCCTCTTCTTCCCTGCCATCTTTCCCTGAACCTCAAAAATGCACGCATTAGGGGTGCCTTGAGTTCGGTGTTTGCTCTGCAGCAAATCTCTCAATAATCCCCCTGCCAGCATCACCAGACCCTCTCCAGATGCTCTCGAAATGAGCCTCTCCTTTGCAAAGAGCTTCTGATGTTGCGTAGCAAGCACGAGAGTGCGCTTCGACTGGGCACGACCGCGCTGGCCCAAGGGCAACAGCAGAACAGCCTAACTGAGCACCTACTACGCACCAGACACTGTTCTAAGCACAGCTCGCGCGTCACTTTATTTCTGAGGCCTGGGCAGTTCCTGAGACCCTTAGGGAAAACCCTCGCCAAGAATCCCAGCTTTACACAGTGTCTCTGACCCTCAAAACCAGGCCTTGACAATAATTAAGGCCTCTTCCGAGAGCGTGTGTTTGCTTTGGCCCCTGAGGGATTGCTTTCACCGAATTGTGCTTTGGGGCAGACCTTTCGGCCTTGAGGGAGTTCGTGAGAAAGAGCCCCATGAAACTTCCTGTCCACTGCTCATGTTGGCTATGAGAACTTCTTTTTTTTTTTTTTTTTTTTCAACGTTTATTTATTTTGGGGACAGAGAGAGACAGAGCATGAACGGGGGAGGGGCAGAGAGAGAGGGAGACACAGAATCGGAAACAGGCTCCAGGCTCTGAGCCATCAGCCCAGAGCCCGACGCGGGGCTCGAACCCACGGACCGCGAGATCGTGACCTGAGCCGAAGTCAGACGCTCAACCGACTGAGCCACCCAGGTGCCCCATGCAGGTTTTTCTAATTTTTCATCCCATTCCCTTTTATCCACTGCTGCCTCATATTCTTGGGGGAACGAGAAGGGAAGTAACTGAATGTCAGAAGTCAGGGGCAGGACAGAGGACCGGTCACCCGATCATTGACTCAGTGATTGGGTCACCCAAGGAGGAGGTGTCGTCTTATCAGTCATACAGTGATCTGAGTCACAACTAGTCGATAACTTCAGAACAAAGGGTGTCACCGGCCCTTTCTACGGTTTCTTCAGCCATCCAAACAGACCTGTTCTCCTCACCCACCAGGTAAAGCCACAAAGTCAGGCAATCAAAATTGCCCTTGAAAGGCCACCTGTGGATCCAGAACTCTAAACCAGTGACCTACCTGGTTCTAAGGTGGCTGAGAAAAAAGTCTCAGTTAAAGACACAAAACAGGGGCACCTGGGTGGCTCAGTCGGTTGAGCGTCCGACTTCGGCTCAGGTCATGATCTCACCGTTCGTGGGTTCGAGCCCCACGTCGGGCTCTGTGCTCACAGCTCAGAGCCTGGAGCCTGCTTCAGATCCTGTGTCTCCCTCTCTCTCTGCCCCTCCCCGACTCACTCTCTCTGTCTCTCAAAATAAATACACATTAAAAATTCTTTTAAATAAATAAAAAATAAAAATAAAAACACAAAACAAAAGGAACAACACCCTTTCCCCTCTAAAGCTCCCGCACTTCTGCAGAAGAGCACGTGAGACACTCAACTCAGGGTGCACGTCTGCCCGGCCCCGAACAAACAGCCCCCTCCTGGCGCTCATTAAGCTGTCCTGCTGGCTGTCTCCCGAACCTGGCATGCCCTCCCTCGGGCCCAGCCACCAGGTGAGGCCCCAGAGTGCGCCCCTCCTCCCCCACGAAACCTCCCGGACCCCTCCAGGCCCCGTGGGCCCTCTCTTTTTTTCTTCCATCATCTTTCCACCTATTGTAGGTTCAGCACAGTTGGGCAGGTCATTGCTTCCAACTCCCAACCTCCAACTCCAGGCAGCCGGGGGCTGGTGGGGGCGGGGGGGGGTCGCTTTTTTCTGGAACCCAGCAGCTGCCTGATCTTAAAATGCTAGCATGGTTTGAAGTGACTTCATAGAAAGCTACCTGCTTGGCTCATTGCCACCTGTTCTTTGTATCTAAATCTCAAAGCTGTCCTTAAGACCTGGCCTCAGCAAAGAGGGAGTCAATGCTCCACACTGCAGGGTCTGTCGGGGTCGAGGTTGGGACGAACCCCAACACGCAGCCAAGCATCACGGAACAGTGCTTCTAAAGAAACTCTCCGAACTACCACGTGTCCCCGGCCACACGCTCATTCACTCATGCCACCGACGGGACAGCTGGCGCACCTCTGACCTTGAGCTATGACTTTGCCCGCCTGGGCTTCTAACTTCTCACCCGGTGAAACATGGGTAATCATGGCGCCCACCTCACATGACTAACTGGCAGTTTACTTCCCTTCTCGGTCTGTTTCCTCAGCTCCCTGGGTGGTTGTGCTTCTAAGTGAGCTGGGGCATGAGAGGCCCTCAAGGACAGCGCTTGCATCCAGCAATGACGGTGACAGCGGCCATCTGGGACAATGTGGCAGCTCAGTGCCCGGCAGATAGTAAGTGCTCAATAAATCCTGGCTGTTGGTGCTCGGCGGTTATTACTACTTCTAAGTTTTCAAAGCTCTTGAAATGTGTTTTTCACACACTCTCACAGCCTGTTCAGCTGAATTCTGTTTTCTTTGAATAACCAACCCACCGCAGTTTCACCCCCGGGGGAAGAGGATGCTTTTCTTCACTAGTCTTTTATATTTGGTAATGAAACAGGGCTTTGTGATGGAAAATCATTCCTTTAATTTGATTTTCTTTGTTGTCCTTTTTAAAAATGAATTGACTGAGGCTCCTCCGAGTTTTACAGCCACAGTGAGGCCTGCACCGCAGAAGTCCAAAGGAGAGAGAAGCCACCCAAGCCCTCTCTGTGTCCCCCAGAGACCACTTTGCCCTGAGCCTGGTCCCTCTGGTGCTGCTCCGTGGAACTCTGTTTCCCCACACGGCCCCACTGGGTTCTGCCTCGTGTCGCATCCTGTTACATCCCAGGACATTCCCCAGCTGCCTTACCACCACCCAGCCTATCTTGTTCTTGTTTTTGTTAATTTTTTAAATGTTTATTTACTTTTTGAGAGAGAGACAGAGCACCCTCAGGGAAGGGGCAGAGAGAGA